GTTCAGGGATAATAGGAACATCAAACTCCCTAAATTTGAACCACGGTGTTTCGATGGAAACCCGGCTGATTATTTACAATTTGTAAAGGAGTTTGAGATCATGTTGAGTGGTTTTTTATTAAATGATGAATTGAAGTTAATGTATTTGATGAGATATTGCACTGGAGATGCTGCAAGAGCTATACAGTGCTGTAAGTTTATGAAGCCAAAAGAGGGCTACTACGAGGCTATGAGCATATTACGTCAAAGGTTTGGAAGACCCTCGATGATTGCAGGGAAATTATTCGAGGCTGTTGAGGGTAATGGTGGTCAATTACAGGATGACTCCCAGGCACTCACTGAGTTTTTGGATAATTTGCTGATTTACAAGAATGCATTGATTTCGATGAATTGCATGAGTGACCTCAACTCGAGTTTTATACTAGAAGTAATAGCAAGACGTCTACCTACTCGACTGCAAAGGAAGTGGGTGAAGATAAGCTCCCGTATGGAGGATGAGGGTATCGAGCCAAGGTTTGATGATATCCTGAAACTGGTAAAAGATAGCGTCAATCAATCTATGAGCAAGTTTTCCAGTCTATTAGATCTCACCCCTAGAATAGAGCAGTCTGAGGGTAAAACGTACTCATTGATGACGAGTAGGCCTCAGAGAGGTGGATATCGAGAAGGCTCCATGATGTCTAGTAATGCATATAGACCTAGTGAGTGTAACAGGTTTCGTAGTACATCCTCAACTGATAGGTTACAAGATGCAAGACAAACACGGTTGTGTTTTACACGTGTGCAAGAGGTGCATACAGAAGTGAACTGTGAACCGGTGAGCAAGTTCAGTGATAAGCTAAATGTAAAATCCAGGTTTGACTCCGAATTGTGTGACGATAACGGTGCGGTGAAGAAGTCTGTAGTTGCAACTGGTAAGCCGTTGTTGAATAGAGTGTCACAGAATAGAGTTGCTGCTTCAGAGTGCAGTTCTGACCCTACAAGTTTACAAGGTATTACTAGTCAGAGTGAAAATATAAAACCTTTTAGGATTTGTGAGGAGGAACCAAAATTGTCTACTTCTGTTATTAAAGAGTTTGAAAATGATGAAGTTGACGGTAAAGTGAATAATTGTGGTGATGATCATGATAATTCACAGTTGTCTTTGGTTGATCATTATGAGATGAGGGATATGCCTACTACTGCTAAGTTAAATAAAGGTTCTGTACAACTACAACGTGAAGTAGAATTGAACGCAGATGCAGTTGCAGAAGGTGTGCATACTTGTGAGACAGTCAGTGTAATTGATCAGCGTGTAGCCCACCTATCATCAGATGATAGTGCTAAACCCGAACTAGTAGTGAAAGACAGCAGTGGTGGTAATCTTGCAGTTGGACAACTATCTGAGAGCCGAACAAGAACAGCTTCTGATCCACCACTAAGTTCATCACCTTGTGTCACTCAGTCATCGTTGGTGCTGTCATCCACAATGAAACAGACACCCATCAACTCAAGTATCTTGTGCAATGACTATGCTAGTATCAGTTCGTTTGAAAGGACGAATATCAATGGTCAGTTTAGTGTGGATAAGCCAAGTGTAAAGGAGAGAGTTATTGTTAAATTGACTTGCACGAATAAAGGCATTTCTAGTTTCAAGTTACTATTTGAATGTTATTATCTTTGGTGTAAATTACTCTGTTTCTACACTTGGTTGATGAGATATGCCGTGTGTTTGTTCGTCATCTATATTCTACGATACAATGACATGGGTGTGTTACTGTTCAGATTTGAGGATTTAGCTCATAGAAGGAAGTCAGCAAATGAACTCTGCGACGATTTTCCAACCTAGGGCGTCAACCTGAGAAGGGTTGTAGGCGTACTGCTGTAAGTCCTACAGTTCTTCAAAGGGTAGCGCATCAATGAGCAGTCCAGTGCGCTTGGTGTGTGATTTTGTACATATGTTCATATTGTATATACTGAATTGATATCATCTGTCATCTAGCTGTTGGTAATTCTGTTTGTGTCCGGACGACTTCCACTTGGATCATCAACCTGAGAAGGAATGTAGGCGTACTGCTGTAAGTCCTACAGTTCTTCAAGGGTAGTTTGTCGTGCCAGAATCCACAACATTTGATGTGTTGATTGTACATATGTTTGTGTTAAATAGTTGTGTGAGTTCCAATTGATGTAATTGTTGGTTAATCTTGTTTGTGTCCTTACATTCCACAAATTACAATCGTCAACCTGAGAAGGGTTGTAGGCGTACTGGTGTAAGTCCTGCAATTCTTCAAAGGAATTCCACCAAGACATGATCGGCGAGGTTGTTTGTACTATTTGTATATACGTGTGGTGTGTCATATCAATTGGTGTATTTTGGATTCATTGTGTTTACTTGTTGTTTTCGTGTCTTGTTGTTATTGCGTAATTTTGTTAAAATTTTCGTCGTGATTATTTCTGAAGTTTTGTCCACTCTTCTACATCCATGAATGAATTGATTGATGTTAGAGACAGCAGATGGGTCGTATACGCCGGGGAGGCTAGGCTATTGCTGAGAATGAAATGCACACGGAGATAATTGTTAGCTGCGGTCCGACACGCCGGGGAGCGGGAGTGTAAACGACTGAGGCTCGCATGCGTCACCGCTACTAGAACTGAGGCAGAATGAGTGACAAGCGATTTCAGTGGTAATTGGTAGTGAGTAATTAAGAGGATGTGCGTAGAGTATCGTGAGGTGCTGCCATGGTCACTTTGCATTCTGCAAGAGTCATTCTAGCAAGTGGCGATTGTGTTGCAAGATGTCAAGAGGAGGTCTCTGTCTGGAGGCGCAGGTCGTCATTGATGTGTGAGATTGTGCTGTGGGTATGCTTGTGGTGTGTTGGCTTTTCTGTTTGTTTTCCATTTCAGCTCTGTCCGTGTGACCCAGGTTCTCGCAATGGCATCCAAGTCAACGTGCATTGGTCGTGAAGGAAAAAAGGGTTGGATCCCTTTTTTGCCGGGGAGTGTCAATGGAGTTGAAGATTGAACGATCAATTCTTGGTTGTTTGCTCAAAATCAACTTCCCCAATTTTCGCGGAGGCATCAATACGACAGTCATCGTCTCATCGGTCGCTGTTCAGAAAGAAGATTGAAACATCGTCAGAAGTAATACAGAGATTTATTATTGTAATATTTGTTTACAGACCTTAGTTTGCTTAGTTCGCTTATTCCTTTTATATGTTGGTGTAACAATAAACAAATATCAAACGGCAGATCGGTGTTTTGGTTTTTGCGTCCGTTATAACTAAGCGTTTCTGAGAAATCTTCTAAGAACAGCGTGGGCCCGAGCGTAGCGAGAGCTGGGCATTAACGGTTTATGAGACTTTGCTGACAGGTGTTGAAGTGCGTCTTTCAGGTGCTGTAGTAGATTAGTGCTTGATTCGTTCTAGGAGTAAATAGTTTATTAATATAATCAGTAGAGTGAAACAGTCTGTATAGAGAGCGTTTGAAGCTTGTAACCGAAGAGCAAGTTCTGACATCTAGGGGTAGGCTATTCCATATTTTAGAATACATGACTGTGAAGAAGTTTTCACGGAGTGTTGACCTAAAAGAATGAGTTGTCACTGTGGAAGTTTGGTTACGCAGATCGTAAGAACCTTCCTGTGCGAATTGTATGTCCCTGTTACCTGAGAAGATATTTTGTGAAGGACCTTAAAGAAGAATATTAGGTTTATAATAAGTCGCCTTGTCCAAAGGGGTCGAGTTTTAGGATCATGCACCGTGAGATGTAGTCTTTCTTACAATCGTAGCCAAGCAGTTTTGAGGTAAAATATCGTTGGATACTTTCCATCCTTAGCTTGTCGCGTGTGCGAGTGCTGCTTATAATAAATGGACAGTATTCTAGTAGTGGTCTGACACATGTTTTGTACAGAATTAGCTTGGCTTCATTGTCGTGAAAGTTCCTGAGTATGCATCCTAAGAGCATCCTCGATTTTCTAGTCTGTGATGCTACTTGCTCAGAGAATGTCAAGTCACTAGAGTACCTCAAGCCTAGGTCAACGACACTTCGGAGTCTTGTTAGGTTAGCAGATTGGAGCGTTAATTTCAGGTCAATTGAGGGTGCACCGAAGCAGATCCAGCCACATTTGTTCAGATTAAATTGGAGATTCCATAGGGACGACCAAGCAGCCATTTTATCTAATTCCTTCTGTACTACATTCTCGAAGTTCCCTAAGTCATCACGTTGGAATGTATAAGCTACTTTTAGGTCATCTGCAAAGATGAATGGTTTCCCGTGCGTGAAGCAAGCGCATATGTCATTGATGTATAGTGTAAATAGGAGGGGTCCAATGACACTACCTTGTACTACACCAGAAGTGATAGGGCTAGGTTTGGAGGTTGCAGACCCGAGTTTAACTATTTGGGACCTATTGTTAAGGAATGATTTAAGCCATCCTAATAATGGGTCACGTATTCCTAAGGAGTTCAGTTTATTTGTTAGCAGTAAATGGTCAACACGGTCAAATGCCTTAGAAATGTCAAAGTAGATGACAAGTACTAGTTGCCGTCTGTCACGACTGCTGGTTACAAAATTGAAGAAGTCTAGGTGACATGTTAAACATGATCTGGATTTCAGGAATCCATGTTGGTTCGGACTTATGATGTTGCAGCTAAGCATATGTTTGATTAAGTTATCTTTGACTAGTCTCTCCATGATTCTAGATGCTATAGGTGTGATATTGATTGGCCGGTAGTTACTGACTTCAGTTTTCGAGCCAGATTTGTGTTTAGGCATAATGAATGTTGTCTTCCATATGTCAGGGTAAGTTTGGGTTTCTAGGGACATTGTGAATATTTTAAGCAGCAGTAGAGGAATGTCAGGGCCACCATATTTATAGAAGTAAGATGATATACCGTCGGTACCGAAACCTTTTGAACTTTTGAGGGTTCTTATAGTTTGGTTAATATTAGTGTAAGTGAATTCAACAGTGCTAATTTGGTTTGGTGTGAGTGGAGTTGGAGTTTGTGCCATGTTAGTAATAGGGTGTATATCGAGTAGCTGGACTGAGGGCTTAAGGTAGTTACCTGCAAACGTTTTGTTGAATAGTTCACATATGTCTGCAGAGTTAGTGCATAGCCTGCCTTTGTCTATGAGGAGAGAAATGCTGTGATTTTTGCGATTCATTCGCTTCCTTAAGATTTCTGTGAGTGCATACACTCTAGCAGGACTGGCTACTGCGATGCGTTCTTCCTTTCTCATACGGAAATCTTGAGCTTGTGTGATGGAGCTAAGGGTTTTAAGTATTAGACCTAGAGTGCCAAAGTCGTGGTGTTTGAAGTAACTTGTTGAGAGTTTCTTCAGTTTCTTACGATCCTTTGGTTTTATGAATGACTTTCTGTGTGGGGAAACCTTTAGTGTTTGGAGTGGAATGACAGCATCTAAGCATATGTTTGAGTTATGGTAGAAGATGGTTAGGGCTCTCGATAGGTCATCAGTAGTGAAGTATTCATCCCATTTGGAGGATCTTAGCATCGATTCTACTAAGGCCCAGTTTGCCTTACTATAGTTCCTATATATTACTTGTTGTGAAGTGGAGGTATGAGATGCATTGCTACTCAGCGGAATTGGCAGTGCACACATTACTGTTTTGTGGTCGCTCCCTGGGAACTCAGAACCTACTAGCGTTGAAAGGGGGCTTATATTGTGGCAGAAGATTAAGTCTAGTACGTTGTTACCTCTTGTGGGAGTAGTGACAGTTTGTTTCCAGCCAAGTATATCCAGTGTGCCTAAGAACTTATCAAATTTAGTTGGACCTGTGGGTATATCCCAGTTGATTTCAGGTAAGTTAAAGTCCCCACATAGGATCTTATGATCGTATTGTAAGTCGGTTAATTGCTCCAGAGTATTAATAAGTTGGGTCTCGTAATTACTAAAGGTGCCAGGTGCTCTGTAGGAGCATCCAATTAATGCTGTTACGTTATTTAAGTGTACATTAACCCATAGAGTCTCAGGCATGTTAAGTGTACTACTTTCTAGCTGTGATACAGTAAGTGCATTCAGAAAGTACATGAGACAACCCCCTCCCTTACCACCTTCCCTGTCACACCGAAAGTGTGTGTAGTTATCTAAGCTTATTTCTTCATCCAGAATGTCCGAATGACACCAAGATTCAGTGATGACAATTACAGGGGGTTTGTATATTACTGTGAGTGCTCTGAGCATCGGCAATTTATTTAGAACAGATCTAGCATTTATGAGGATTACGTAAAGATGAGAGTTGAAGTAGCATTTGAAGTATTTAAGTTCGTTAGTCAGCCCCGAATATGGTTCAGCACCCAGTAGTTCTGCTGGACATGACGATCCTATGTTAAGAGGAGTTCCAGCATCATGCTCACCTATGTCTATCGAGTTGTTGTGTGCTGTTTTCGGTGGAGAATTAGGAGTTGGAGTACTGGATTTGCTATAGACTAAGGAACTTTTATTTTTAGTTAGGTTACAGAAGTGGGTAGGGTTCTTTATTTGGCCTATACTTGTGCAAGTGTCAAGTGTGTCCAATGGATACGGGTGCACTAGACCGTTCCTGTTTTCATGCAAGGAGGGAGCCAGCACTAGTGGTTTAGGAGTGTTAACATCCCTACCAGCTGTTTTTTCAACGCTGACAGGGACGCGGGGGATAAAAAATGATTGGATCCTTGTGATGACCATGGCTTATTATTCCACCTATTGTTTGATGCTAGTTGTGTCCTTGTGTGGGTTTCGTGTGTACTGCATTTTGGGTTAGTTCCCAGCAGACTTGTACCATATATCCGGTCGAAATTTGTTTGTGTGCCATACTCTGAAGACCCTGAGTTGTTGGTAGCCGAGTTCTGACTATTACCACTTGTACTATTTAGGGTGACATCGTTGTGACATTGGATATTAGTGTGTGCCACGGTGCGATTTAGCACGTTGTGAGTGCTAATACTATTAACCGTGGGGAGTGTGGGCTTATTTAAGCTGCCACTGTTTTTGTTGGTATGATTTAGGGGCATATTTTCCTTATCTTTACCAATGGAATTATAGCTAGGAGAGGACAAAGTCGAATTTCGGGGGGTTTTAACTTTTTTTCTGGGGTTATTTAGTGGCATTTTAGATTCTGCGGTGATGGGTGGTATGGTTTTATTATTTATTTGGTTACAGTCTAGTGGCCTTTCGGCTGGTGTTGCACTCTGATGGGATAATTCTGTGTGTTTTGAGAGGGGTGATGCGGTGGGGTCTACTGTATCTTTCACAGGGTTGGGAATAATGGCTGCTTGCAATGTCCTATTACCTATTTCACAATTAGTCTTAGTGAGATAGTTGTGTGCGCGCCTTTCTATAACTGTTTTTTCCACCCCGACCTTTATGTGTTTGTAGTTTCTGGCTTGCGATAGGGTGTGTTGGGAGTGAATGAATTTTCTGGTCTCTGCCGGTGTTTCGAACTGAAAACGAATAGGACAACACTTTTCATGTTGACTCTTCTTCAGCCTGTAGCACTTAGTCTTGGAGTTAGGCATTTTCGCTTCACTAAGTAAGATGCGCTGTACCTTTTTTAGTGCCTCATTGTCCGGAACGTTGTAGACAATAGCACTCAGTTTTGCGTCGAGTCGTTTTGTTACTTCTGTGGTAACAAAGTTAATGAGGTTATCTACCTTAGTTACCGATTCTGTGTCAAGCTTGTTAAGGTTTGCCGTTTTCATGAGGATAGTTAGAGGTGTCAGTTCACAGACCTGCGATCTGATATCGCTGATCTGATCTGATAATTTGGATATCTCGGTATTGGTTTCGATGTTTCCAGCATTTACTGACTTACTGTTTTTTATTTCCCTCAACTGGGGTAGTACTTGTGCAAGTACTACAACAAGATAAATTTTATGTAACGAATCACGTAAAAATGTAACGCAAACGTTGAACGTACCGCGATACAGATGTATTTATCGAAATAAATATTGTTTTAAAAATTTTGCACTATTAATACCTAGTGTTTGTCGAGTTGCAAAGTGATGCCAGTGTAGAAAACGTAATATTCGTAAAATGCCATATTTACACGTTGTTGAATGTGGTTACAGTGGGGGTACTGTTATCGCTTTTGAGTAATCGCTTTCTCTGGTAAATCTTAACCAGAAGGCATGCACAACTAAAGCCTATCTAATGAGTCACAGCATTTTATGATAACAAAATAATCAATGAAGTTCAGTGACATAATAATATAATAACAATATATATTCTCATTTTTGTACATGAAGGACGCCAGTTTACAGGCATCATCTATTCGATAAATTACACATAAGATTAGTAAGCATATTTAGTAAAGATAATATAACAAGGTACATATTTTTTCCTTGCTATGTAGGATACACCAATTGTAAAGGCATGCATAAATATTGTTTAAATTACATGATTTACGGTTGGTGTCATTTTGTCTTTAGTTTGTGGAAAATACCTGATAACTAGTGATTTAATAGACCACATCAGGAGATATAGGGATATTGACTTCGAATTAACAAAAAAACCAAATATACGTTGGATGGATTACAGATACTTGGGAAAATAAATGAAGCTTGAAGTCAATTTCCTAATATAACAATAAAATGAATCTTATAATAATATACCGTCTTTTAATGCACATGACAGCTGACAGGCATCATCAGTATGGTAATAATGTACACATGGAGTAAGCATGTTTAAAATCTTTCACTGACACAAGATATATATATACAAGGAAGGATAACGGAATAATGATAGTAAACACACTTTGCAAAAGTTAAAACAATTTATATGATATAATCCTAGGCACCATTATTGTTTGAATTTGTCAAAAATGCGCGTAACAACTGAGTGTTGCGTTACATTTGGTCGATATGGTGGGCTACTCACAAAAGTGTAAAAATGGCTTATAAAACGTCAGTTAGTTTACCATAAACGATGTTTTAAGCAACATAATCTGCAGAAGGCTCACCACAGCAGTTAGAATGCAGTAAAACATGCAGAGAAGTACTATTGATTCAGCAATCGGTGAATTTTTTATTCTTGTCGATCTGGAACCAGAATGACCGCGAACCATTCCATTCAAAATGTTGAATAAGGCATGCAGGAGCAGATCATTGCCATCGAATGGATCAACTTGATCTGAGATGCAGCTTTCAGCATGTTTTCGTTATATCATAGATATCCAGGAAAAATTGTCAATATTTTCACAAATTTATCAATTAGAAGAATTATTTTCCGACGTCTTTCGTGCATTCATTCAACATTATATTTAAATAATAAACTACTAACAGCCATGTACTTAACAAATTCATTGAATTATTCCTCCCCCCACACATACACACCGACCCACCCCACCCCTTCCTTAAAATATGTCTCATTTGAATTCACAGCTGTGTGCTATCCCCCCTATCCTTTTTAGCTTTATGTGTTTAGTGTGGAATTAGACATATAAGCTGTTGCACTTTCATTTATTAAATTTATCAGGTGTATGAATGTATTATTCATTTGATGGTCAGTTATTAACTTAACACTACCTTTACCACCGTTCATAATTTATTATTATTATTACTGTATTACTTTTGACCTATTTTTTATTCTCCCATCGTTAAACAAAGTAGTCAAAGCGTGCGTAGTGACCATTTTATTTATTCTACCCTTTCATCATATAGTTTATCATTCCATATTATGATTACCATTACTATTATTATTACTACTGTTGTTGTTGGTTGTAGACGCATATATTTTCACTGCTTACCTACATTGCGTACGTTGCCTTACTTTTTTTTGATACTTGTATAACTTATTATTTAACTTTTTTTCTTCTGTTTTTACATTATGTATTATTGTCTTAGTGTTGTTTTTTTTGTTGTTGAAAAAATGTCCTATTGTCACTTATTCATTCCCCCTCCTCCTTCTCCTATTTCCTCTTATCGCGTAATATACTTTCGTCTCAAACGTGAGCTATTCGTTTGACTGGGCAGTTTAAAATAACTTCAGGTCGATATATATCCTACTTTAAATTAATTCTGATTTTATTAATGAAAACTCATTTTATTTCCTTGTTTGCTTATACGTTTCCTTGTTTGCTTATCAAGCGCGTGCTGTATAACTACTTTCTTCATTATTATCAGTTGTATATTCTATGGTTAACACACACATTCACCTTTTGTTGAACGCCTATTCTCTCTTCTTGTGTGTGTGTGTATGTATGGATGATATTCTATTGTAATTACATAACTTTCAGTGTTCGCGCCACTACTGTTACGATTTGTATATTTCTCTATCATATAATAATAATTATTAGTAGTATTAATTTACATTCAACTAAAAGTTCACTTTCTTGCACACTATATTCTGTATGTTTTCGCTTCAGGGCGCCTTTTATTAGTATTATCATCATCATCATCATCACCATATTATCTATGTTTTGCTGTCAATTGACGTTACTTTCTAAAAAAAATTTTATCAATATTATTATGATTGTGTCCGTTTGATCTTACCTTCTGTGTGTTGTAGTAACCATTTCATTCATTTTTCACTAGAGATAACAAGCAAAATAGTAGAGACACATAATTAGAAGAGGTGACAGCTGCTAACCCCGGTTACGTGTTTTGATTCACTCTTTATATATTATGGGTTTGCAATTTATTTTACACATGTACAAAATATATACACATACACATATATTGAGATTGTTGTTTTTAAGCATTTAGAAATTCAATCAAACTACTACCATGACTACTTTGAACACTTTTCTTGTTTTTGTTTCCTGTGTAGTTAGTTAGTTATAACGCATATAAATAGATGATAATAGTTCATTTTGTCGTTGTTGTTGTTGGTGTTATTGTGGTGTAGTGGCGATGGTGTGATGCGGTGTCAGTTATATGTAGCTTTCTCATATCATTTAATCAGTTTGTTCACTTCGTCATCATGGCATTATTATTATTATTAAAATTACTAATGTCAGTGATTTGTCGGTTAAATGAATTGTTGTCAATGCCTGCTTATTGCACCTTTTCATTTCATTAGATACATATAAATTTCACTTGATCTCTCACTCACTCTCTCTCTTATTTCACTTTCCGATTTATGTCTCTCAGGCAGTCTTTTTATTTGTTTGTAATAATCATTGTGAAGCGCATACATACACATACATTACTGCCTGGAATTTTTTTCCAGCTGATATGTTTCACTGACTTCTTACTTTTTGGTATTCACCATTTATTATACATATATATATATATTTGAATTTGCCTACATTGTTATGCCCTTATTCCGTTGACAAAAGCATAGTTTCTCTCTTTTCTTTTCTTTCCTCTGTTCTTGTGAAAACTATTCTTTTTTTTAATTGATTAATGTTAATAATTTAATTGGTGAAAATGGGAGATTGTTTCTAAATCGTGTACCTGATTATATTATTACTTCCCTTTTACCTAGAGATTACAAGTAATTTATGAACAAAAAAAATATACCATATATATATATATAAAAGGAGGGAGGGTGGCGCTAGCTGATTAGTAGATATGGTGGTGGTCACTAAGGTGGATCGCCCCATTCTGCAGGAACAGCAATATACAAATTAAAGGCTCGAGATATTTCTGATTTTTATGAGGGCTTAGATCTTTATCTTGAAAAAGATAATAATGAACGCCTTGACAGATCATGCTTCTACCTCTAAATACATACTATTCGCCCAGCCTATTGTTGAGATGCGACCATGTGGGATGTGCACAGTTTTATGGGGCATCTTATAAACTAACTTGCTGTCTATTGACTGATCTTTAAATACCACTTCACAATGTCTTATCTCATTCATTTTCCAATAACGTCTTTACTTGATCCTCATTATATCCCATTAAACCTAAC